TTTTGCTTTATTAAGTCTATTTTATATTACTTATAAAGAATTGCTCAAAATCACCCAGATAATTGTGTATTTCAATGAGCTACGGTTCAACGAACTTTATCTTTTGGCACTTCAGTGTAACATTTAGATTTAAAGTCATCATTTCGTAATACAAAGACCTTGTCAGCTAATACAATTTATCATTTAGGCAAATGCTTACTGACGTTTTTCATACTAATTGTTAGTCAATTTTTTATACTCTGAATTGAGGCCGGATTTTTCAATTATTTATCATGACAAGGAAAACACAGCGGGTGTGACCGGTCGACAGGGGATGTTCACTCTTCCATAGCACCTGATCCCACCTTTGATGTTTTTTGGAGGTCCGTGTTTGCTCTGCTCCTGTTTTGTATTGTTTAATGGACTTTAATCTTAAATACTGTTCGTTTTCCCCACATGTTTCATTTATCACTTAACCTTTAGTTTATTTTACCAAATCATTGCAATAAATAGTATCTTATTTCATGTAAAATATATTAAATAACATCTATAATTGAAAAAAAAATCCCATAAAATAATTTTTGACATTTTAGGTTTTAAAATCTCATTTAAAAATGTTTTTATACCAAGTTATTGCAACTTATTTGCTGATCGCTGGAAAGTACGGTTTTATCCAAAATAATGATAGAAAGCGTTGAAGATAGTTATGTAAATTTTGAGATATTGGTTAAAATATTCAACACTCAGGCGAAAGAAATGTACATTTTATCTTCACTTTTAAACTTTATTATATTTTTTTTATTGACAATGGCCGTGGAATGAAAAAGTAAAACATGTTTCAAAATATAAATTGAAAGATATATTTAATATTCCCATTATATAATATCACCACTTATACGAGCCTGTTCTCGGATAAATTAGTTTATTTCAGAAACCCTATGTCCCTCCATTCTGGACATCTTAAGTCCTTTCAGATATATAATTTTATTATACCTATTTTTATAAATATATTATATAGAACATTATAAATATTCTACAAATAGAGTTATCTGATTTGTTCTAGGTTATCACGTGATCGGGCTGTAAAACTTCATATTTCAAGGCAGTCGGCACGCTTTTCATCATATTTCACCTCTTCGGAACAACTAGTGTATTTTCCCGCAAAATAGTTCTCGTTCGTTAAACGAAAACTCCCGAGAAAAGTAGACGTCACAATAGCCTTGTTTACGTCACAAAATTGATAATAATGTGTTGGCCAAAGGGTTTTATAGTAACTTTACGTAAAAAATGATAGTGAATTTGAGAGCGGTGCCGAATTTGAAAGTTTATGTTTATTTCAAAGGTTTTGCTTGTTTCGGTAAAATAAACAATTCATTGCATGAATGTTCGTGAAACATAAAGACTTCTTCAGCCAAGAAATATCATATTCCCCTCGGGCGAAGCCCTCGGAAAATATGATTTTTCTTGGCTGAATAAGTCTTCATATTTCCCTCACTATCATGCAATAAATGTATGATATTCACCCATAGTCACAACCAATCACTCCGGATAATTTAGGTCCATTTGCATATAATCTAATATTTAGTTGTTTCCTCTTCCCTTCTCGTCGAATCGATGAAACGGTAAGGTCATGATGATGCGTCATGGAAAATTTTATAAAGTTGAATTGTTCCAATGTTTTAGTTTTGAAATGAAATAAGTTGGATTTCAAGGATTACTATCAAAGTATTTAATTGCAGGCCAAATCAGACGTGTCGATGGTGTAATTTTACTTTAGATTTAGCCCGAGATTTTTGGTCAGGTCAAATCGAGAACAATCGTCGATTCGCTATTGTGTGTGTGTGTGTGGGGGGGGGGGGGGGGGGATGAAGCGCAGAAATATTATGTCAGACATACTAATTCGTTTTGGATTGGCAGTCTGAAGAAGGTACTTACACATTTTGCCGAAATTTAATACTCTTTAAACATGTTAAAAGGGATTGACTATTGAACAGTCACGAGAATTACGTCTCTTTCACTTCTGCATCATCATTAATTAATTTCATCATTGTTATGAGTCATTTACAGTTTGGTATTGTTTCATTTGTTTGCTGGTCTATTGAAACATTTTAATAAAATGCAAAAAGACATACACGGAGAATATTTTAGCAAAAAGTAAAAGGTCTTAGGTTTATATGAACTAGTTTTCCCTCTATCAAAAAAAAGGGGGGGGGGACTCTAAAGGATGAAAGTCATCGTTGAGACCATGGGAGTGAGCATTTTGTCTCAGGGTGAGCTGTCAAAGGCTTAAAGCACAACAAAGCGGTAAAAATTTGGCTTCGTAAAACTTAGATTAAACAGCAATAATCAATCATTCATATGCCTTAGACTAGATATGCTGGGTTCAGTCACAAGCAAGGAACAAATTATGTTAGTATTAGGCGTAAGAGTCGCACTAGGGTAAGAAGCTTTAACTACTATCTCAGGATTTCTCAATCTTCATATCGGTCCTTTAAAAAGGAAATTAAAATTCACAAATTGATACGAAAATAAATCAACCTGCTCAGATTGAGTTTTCGATAACTTTTGATTGGAATCACTAGGCCGCAAAAAAAAAAATCTTGTAATTAAGCATTTAAATAGAAATATTAAGGATTTCAATCCCTAATAGCACCTAATACTCTACCCTTAAATATCCATCAAGTGCATGATACTGTGACATCATATTAAAGCATTTTATAGTCAAAAAGAATTGCTTAGAAGAAAGTTAAAATTCATCAACAAAGCAGTATTTTAAAACAAAAATATTGCATTGCGGGAAAGCGATTTTATTTTAATAAAAAACAAAGTAATAGAATAGCATTAAATCTGTTGTGGAAAGATGTATGAAAACATTAGAAATAGAATGACAATTAAAAATAACTTTTTTACCCGATTAGTTTTTTTTTCAATTAATTTTTTAATCAATTTACTCTTACCAAAACTTTAAGTTCATAAATTAGGAAACATTCCACCCTTACATGGTAATAGTTATAGAGCGGAATTATGTCGAAATAAATCAAGTATTCAACAGTAACACATATTCAATGTATTCAATTTCACAAACCTACAACATACTTTTGTTTGATTTATACGGAATCTGAAATAACTAAAGAAACTCTACTACAAGTAAAAATATACAGGACGAACGCTCCAAGATTATAAGACATACATATATGTGCATTTATATACAAGAAAACATTGATGTAACCATCAATTGTCGCCCGGGAAATAAATAGAATAAACAATTAAAATAAGTCTTGATCATCAAACCGTTACGATATGTGTGAAACAGACATGCATCTTAATAATGGAGATGATAGTCAAGAATATTTTGGAAACGATACCCTTTAAACATAATCAATTCCTCAAATAAATGTTAAATTGATTGCATAAAATATAAATTGAAACTAGACACATGCATCACCTATTTTCAAAAATGCATTTTACTTTAAGAATAAAAAACACGAACTGTGTGAAGTACCTTTTTAAACGATAAGTAAAATTCGATGTTCTAAAAACAAGCGACCTGCCGTTTTTTTTTTTCGAAAGTATATGATAAGCAAGTTATATATTAAATATGAAAAACACATATATTTTTACAGATTTACTTTTTGGAAGTTAAAACATTATGTATCTCGTAATTTAGAAAGGGAAAGAACATACTGATTTACAATCTTTTTAATGGTTAGAAAACCTTTAATTTTGAATACTGTATAGGGGATTAATTTCACGGGTTGTAATTTTCGCGTTTTTCTCTCATCTGACACGATCGCGGTTTCTTGAATTCGCGGAATTGGTATATAATAAAAGTTACCTCCCTTGTCTTTGTAGCTTCACGTTAACTTCATTCATAAAGCGTCATGTATTTATTTCAACAAGGTAGGTTAATATAAAATTGTTGGATTTGATAAATAATTAATTAAACAAGAACAGTTATTGATGTCCTTCATTCTAAACGGCAAATGACTTTCCTATATGCTATTATGACGAGTGCATGTGCACCCAAGATCTTCAATACAATACGGCTAAAAATTAAACCACTGGACGGAAATAAATGTGTTTAGGTAGTTCGACGAAATAAAATCCTTCACATCTTAAATAAGTTTGATATTTATTTGAATGATTTCTTATTAAAACCAAAACTTGATAAAATCAAATATGCATGATTATGCAGGTAACAAATACACGTGGTATCATTAGTTACGCACGGGTAATCAAAACCCATGGCCCACGTGTTTTGATTGATGAAACGTGTAGAGTTGGCTATTAAAACATTGGAACAAACACAAGTTATTATCTACCGATTTTAATTAAAGTAAAGCGTGATAATTATAATAATTGAATGATAAGTACTACTCGTTATTACTGAAATGACCATGTATTGATGGTACATGTGTATAAACCACGTAGTCTATTCCTAAATTTCAAAATAAAACATGGAGATTATTTAAAAAAATTATTCACTGTTTCTTGATTTCACGGATTTATTAACACCGTGAATATAGCGAATATTAACACCGCGAGTTATTTTCCCCCTATACAGTAATTATCTCACCTCAATCCTCATGCACCAACACTTAAACTTATATGTATAGAGCAGCCCGGTCCTCCTGGCTGTAATAAGAGATGAAAGGGATGCGTTTCGGTGTGCGGGTTTGTGTGGGATCATGAGTGTGAGAGGATGTAGGGGGGTGTGAGAGGATGTGTGTGTGTGTGTGAGGGTGCGTGCCTGTGTGTGTTTCTTTATTTTGTTTTCTTTATTTTAGCTTGTCAATATAACTAGTTTATGCAGCTACCTGAAAAAGCCTTGTGTCCTAGATTTTAACTTTAGTGTATTTATATGCATGTTTGTATTCTATTTATTTTTATATCATTAAAAAAGTAAATATTTATTTTTTTGATGGAGATATATAATTTCAAAAGGCACGTTGTTATGTAGAAAAATACGAAAAAATCAATAAAAAGTATGTACTGTACAAACAAGAAAAAGCTGTACTTACGTACGCAGTCTGGTGTGTTCTATCTTATACGAATTATTGATTTAAGACTGACCCCTTTTCAAATTTTTTATCTTTCGAAATTGATTTTTCTTATCTGTTGTGCATGATTTATACCTTTCGTGTGTGTTTTATGGAATTAAGAAAAGATATAGCGTTTTCCTTCACTTATCTCATAAATATTTACAGAAGTGTAGAAGAAACTTCATGAGTTCTGAACAACAAAATATTTGAGAAATGGTTTAAATGTGGATTTTTTTCTTAGCTCTTCCTTTCATATACAATGTTAAACATTAATAACCATGCAATGAAATATATGCAGATAACAAATAGCATTCGAGCTCAGAATTCCATTTAATCTTATAAAATAAGAGCGGGGCAAACACGGACCTCTAAAACATCAAAGCTCCGATCAGGTTCCATGGTGGAGTGAGCGTTCCCTGCCGACCTTACACACCCGCCGTCTGCTCCTTGTCACGTTTGAAAATAAAACAGAAAAATCCGTCGACAACTCGAAATGTTAATATTGCCTAACAATCGGTATGTAGTCTGCTCCTTGTCACGTTCGAAAATAAAACAGAAAAATCCGTCGACATCTCGAAATGTTAATATTGCCTAACAATCGGTATGTAAAAAGTCAGACAACATTTGACTTAATAATACATTGTATTTGCTGACAAGGTCATTGTATCTACCACATACCTCACGAAATGATGACTTTAAACGAGACTTCTGATATACTTGCTTCATCGGCTTGTTTGTCAATAAGTTATCTTGTTTAAGAACTTGTTCTAGACGTAGAGCATGATCTGGCTTATCGAATCAGTTAGGAGATATAAACTCTGTTTGCAGGTGACAAGGGTATATTACTGTATAAGTAAAGGAATTTGGCTATTGAACATGCAACACATTTTACTATATACAGTATTGTTAATCTGCATCCTGCAATAGTTAACCCAACGTTTGATTTTTTTCATGGTCGTTAAAAGTTTACACTTATGCATTAAAGCCTTAATTTTTAATACTGGATTGATTTATGGGCCACATCCCTCAGATGAGCGATGTGGCCCATGGGCCAATTATTTACACATCAAATTGTCTGCAGATTTTCCTGTTTTCCCGACCATGACAAAAATCACACGGCGGGTGTTACCAGTCGGCAGGAGATTTTTACCCTCTCTAGCACCTCACCTCAGCTCTGATGAATATGAGAGGTCGATCCCTGTATCTTATGCGCTTATTTGTATTTTTTCTATAAACATTTTAGTTTGAAAACGATTTAATATCTACACATTTTATTCATATTTTACTGTTCACAGTAGTTTAGTCGGTAGACCGTTCGCTCCGACATTGTGAGGTTCTAATCTTGGCCGCGACTGACCTAAATCGATTTAAAAAAGGGTAGCAACTGTTCTTTTGCTATGCGTTCGGCATTTGAAATGAAAGGTTCGGGTCCCTCGGATGAGACCTAAAAAAACAGAAGCCCCATGTCACGGAGGCGTCATCCCTATTAAGATCTCTCACTGCTCAAAGACATTGAGTGCCTAATAAAGTTCAAAATTTGTAGCCCTTCACCGGTATATGGTGACGTCAATATATGAGTAAAAATTTCTCGAACGGATGTAAACAATATACAATCAATTAATCAATCTATCTATCTTTTTTCTGTTTGATTGTTTCAGAAATTTCAGATGCAGAATTTTCATAATTAATTAATTCATATTTTTTTACTAAAAATATTTTTAAAGAACGATAATGGAAAGATAACTTTTAAAGGTGGATGCATTTCTATTTTACAAGCACAGAAAACAATGTGTTATTCTGATTATTTAAAAAAAATGCGTCATTGTGTTTTCTAGTGCAAATTAAATAGATATGATAGTAAACATTATTTTCATATCTACCTAATATATTGAATTTATTGTGAGATGGAAAATTATAAATCTTACTATTAACAATATAAAGTTTTCTAAATCTTCACATCATAATTATACAAAATATTCATTTCTGAAAAAGTAAGCAACGCTTCATACTTCATCTTTTTTTTCATTTGAATCTAATCCTTTTGTTGTTGATGAAATAATAATATCAATTAAAAGAAATTTTCCAAGTAAATATATATATATATATATATATATATATATATATATATATATATATATATATATATATATATATATATATATATATATATATATATATATATATATATATATATATATATATATATATATATATATATATATATATATATATATATATATATATATATATATATATATATATATATATATATATATATATATATATATATATATATATATATATATATATATATATATATATATATATATATATATATATATATATATATATATATATATATATATATATATATATATATATATATATATATATATATATATATATATATATATATATATATATATATATATATATATATATATATATATATATATATATATATATATATATATATATATATATATATATATATATATATATATATATATATATATATATATATATATATATATATATATATATATATATATATATATATATATATATATATATATATATATATATATATATATATATATATATATATATATATATATATATATATATATATATATATATATATATATATATATATATATATATATATATATATATATATATATATATATATATATATATATATATATATATATATATATATATATATATATATATATATATATATATATATATATATATATATATATATATATATATATATATATATATATATATATATATATATATATATATATATATATATATATATATATATATATATATATATATATATATATATATATATATATATATATATATATATATATATATATATATATATATATATATATATATATATATATATATATATATATATATATATATATATATATATATATATATATATATATATATATATATATATATATATATATATATATATATATATATATATATATATATATATATATATATATATATATATATATATATATATATATATATATATATATATATATATATATATATATATATATATATATATATATATATATATATATATATATATATATATATATATATATATATATATATATATATATATATATATATATATATATATATATATATATATATATATATATATATATATATATATATATATATATATATATATATATATATATATATATATATATATATATATATATATATATATATATATATATATATATATATATATATATATATATATATATATATATATATATATATATATATATATATATATATATATATATATATATATATATATATATATATATATATATATATATATATATATATATATATATATATATATATATATATATATATATATATATATATATATATATATATATATATATATATATATATATATATATATATATATATATATATATATATATATATATATATATATATATATATATATATATAAACAAAAACAAAAATTTCAAGATTATGAATCAAAAAACTGTGTACGTTTGAAGAATTTTCTTCAAAATATCCTTCCACATCAAAATATTCTTCAAATATCTTTTTTCCTTACAGTTTTATTAGACGTTTTCAATTTTTATATTGCATGATTTGCATTGTTAAATAGAAAATTTTCGAAAACTTGAATTGTAATTAATGATTTTGAAATTAAAGGTTCTTAAAAGCTAACATGTGACATACAGGGTGATTTTTAATAATTTATATGCTGATAATTTTTAGATCTCAACATTTCTGTTATATATAATGTTTCAAAAAGAAACCACATTTCATTTAAGATATCAAACCCTTGTTGTTTGAATATGAAAATGTAAAGTTAATAATGTAAGTATAATGTTTAATTTTGACATAAAAACATACAAGGGTTGTCCGTAAAGTTCGTGGACTATATTTTTAAAATATATGAAACTATCACTTTCATTAAATACATATTTCATTTTATTAATCTGAAAGTTTTCGACAAAAACAAAGCACAAATAGTTATACCTTTATCAGATACAACAAAGACACACACGCATATCCGGAGCACTATATTTAAAAAGAAAATTCTTGTTACCCGACGTCACAAACCTTATACGAGTACATGTAACTTTTCTCAACATATAGACTGGTAGTCACCGTTTTACTTGATACATTTCTTATGCTGCTTTAACCAGTCATCAAACTGTGCACAAAATCATCAGGTTTTATACATAAAATAATAATTCGTGCAACAATGTCTGTCTCAATGCTGCAAGAACGATGTGGAGAAAACAAACCATATTCAATTTTAAAGTCCATAAAACGATACAAAATAGGAGTAGAGCAAACACGGACCTCCGAAACATCAGACGTGGGATAAGGTGCCATGGAGGAGTGAGCATCCCCTGCTGACCGGTCACACCCGCCGTGTGCTCCTTGTCATGATCAGGAAATAACGGAAAAACCCGTCGTCAATTCAGTGCATATATAATGGAATAACAATCGGTATGAAAAAATCAGTCAGCATTTGACTCAATGATAAATTGTATTTGCTGACAAGGTCATTGTATCGACCATAGAACTTACGAAAATGATGACTTTAAACGAGACTTCTAATATTCTTTTTTCATCAACTTGCTTGTCAATAATTTACTCGTTTTAGAAAATGTTCATACGTAGAGCATGGTCTTTGCGTAACGATTCAACTGAGATATATATACTCCGTATACAGGTGATGAATGTATATTGCTGCATACGTAAGGGAAGTTGACGATAGAAAAGTTAATGTCATCACGTTTATCATAGAGGTTGGTTGTTTGATTTTCAAGTAAAATATCCTAATATGAAACAGATGTGTAAGACTTTATGGTATCTTTTATCCCAAGCTCACCAAGATATATCGTGTCGACGTAGGAATGCAAATTACTATAATT